ATAAAGTCTCGCCTTCTAGCGCACCTTTTTAAATATTTTTTTTGTCCTGATTCCTTCGAAACTTCTTTATATGTATGTTTGATGCACTAAAAATATACAAAACCGAAACAGAATAGACTTAAAGCAAATCAATGTGTTCGAACTTTTCTTCACGACGCAGGAACGGAAATACATTGACGCATTCATTGGTCAGTTAATTCTTGATAAGTCACGCACACGTAAACGCATTCACCGTCATCGTCGTCTAAAGATAAAAGAATGGCTAATGTTTAATTCAGTGTTCCACACGGCGAATTATTGACGAACGGATATAGAAACATATTGTATTAATAAAAAAACGGAATAAGTGCATCGGATGTACGCGCGTGTAAATTTATAATAATTTTTATAATATGCTACATTTTATAGCACATATTAAAAACTTTTTATGATTATATACTTAATAGAAATACTGTAAACACAATATATTTTATTGAATCAAATTTAATAAATTGTTTTGTTACCTAAATAAATAAATTTTTTTACCAATATTATTTTATTTTACTAATTATTTTATTAAATAAAACAAATAAATTAATACAGATATTATAAAAACTGGATATAATAAGCGACTAAATTAATAAAAAATAAAAATTAAATGTTTCATTATCACTAAAAAATATCAACAAGCTAAATTGAATATCATGTATATAATACAATCTTCTCGTCACTCGTGTGATTATTCATATGTGTATTTAACTGCCAGATCGTGGGACACAGGACCTCGAGCCATCTGACGCGAAACACCATTACCGCATATACGTGTGACCGAAATAAAGTTACGTGCATTTATTGTTAAATATAATAGATGTGTTGCCATGGAAACACTGAAAGTATTCTCTGTCAATACAGCGAGAAAAATTACCGCTAACGCTACATTGTGTCGAAAACCGCAGACGATGATGACCAAAATATTTCTTCAATAAAAATTTTAAAATTGGAGCTTTACATTGTAATATCTCTGTTTATATTACATGTAAAGTGATGATAATAACTTTCGGTATATATTGAAATTACTATTGAAGTTATACTGATAAGTTCATTAAAAACTCGATCGGCTCAACTGTTTCTGAAATTTTTAATAATCTCAAATCATAATTGAGTGATTCATATATTTATAGGTCTATATTTTGAATCCTCTTTTATCGATAAAAGAAAAAAAATTCAGAATATAAGCCATAATTTCGCAGTTGTGCGTGACGTGGCGCAATATTATTATATTTTTTAATTAAATTTAATCTGGTAAGAAAAAAAAGAAATAAATAAAAGAAATAAAATATTAAATAAACTTATAAAATCTTATCAAAATAAAATTTTGTTTAATTCTATCGCAATAAAAAATGCAATATTGCAATTTATAAATATTAATATAAATTGTAATAAAATCGCTACGTCGAATGTTATTTCGCAAAAATAAACGATTTGGTTAATAGACGGTTGATAACGTGTCAGTTCGATGTCAAAAATCATATCCGTCAAGACGAGTTCCTATCTGCAATTCATCTACTTTTTGCGGAAGAGACATGCGGTGCAAAAAACGAAATACCGTAATGCGCAAGATGATGCGAAGAGACGGCCCATCGTTCGTATCGGCCATTAATACGCGAGCATTTTATGGCGGTTATTAAAGCGGGTTAAACATAGGGGCAATAATACTAGACTTTGCCCGTACACTTAGCACGTATGTTTAAAGTGAAATATTTGCTTCCCGCCAAAGAAGGTGCCCGGGACGATAATCCGGAGGAGCCGTCGCAGCCCGGAATGCATTCCTCCTTAACACCACTCGCATATTCAACGGACGACACCTCGGCGACACGGCAGGTCGACGTGTCAGAGTCCAACGACCCATGTGAGGTCGGAAAGATTATTGTGATTCCACGTGCGTACGGACGAATATAGCCCTGCCGGAAGACTCCCTAACTATAGAATCGTTCTGTGCCAAGGATTTTTCATGAAGCCACTTAGAAAGCCCTGTACATCGCGTCTACTATTGACCATTAATAGAATTTTAATCCGAGACCAATGCGTGCGGGAGATGACCTTGACTCGACGAAGTTACCGGTAGCTTAAAAGAGATTTCCACCTGTGTGTTCGTTACGTGGGATGTGTAGTAACAAGCGTCTACAACGGTTCGGCATCCTGCATTTTCTCAGGCGGACGGATGAACAGAATAATAATGGCGAATTTAAGATCCCGATTAGAAAAACAGTTTTACGCATCAACAGCAATTTCTTGTATGGAAAACGGATCGAAGGTTTGACGATTATAATAATAATTATTATTATTATTACACGCTGAAGAAATTCAAAAATGGAATTGTTCAAGAAAAGGAAAAAAAAATTTATTATAGTTTTTGAAGACAAAGTTGACCTTTTTTTACATTTAAATTTAATTTTTCAGTCTTCATATAGCGGATTCGTTTATTGGATTTGTCATAGTCATATGCATATTGTTTATTTGATAAGTGCAAGACTCTGCTTTACGCCAAGTATGATAATTTATGATAAAAATTACGAAATTCAATGGAAAGGAATGTGAAGGAAAATTCAGGTCTGAGTCCCAAATGAACCTGCATATTGTCGTTCAGATGTCAAAGCGTTCAGACCTTTAAAGATTGAATCATTATTCGAGCTTCGATTGGCGCGTAAAGTACGCGTAAAGTACGTGTAAAATTACGAAGGATGAAATCAGACATTTATGGGATAGTTTAAATTTCCTCCGATACGATTAGTACGCTGTAGCGATAGGTATCTCTTAATTCGTTCAAATTGCAGCGATCGGTGCTAACATATATCGTATATAGCTATCTCGATGTTCCAAAGTGGAATTCACGCGATGTGATTACGGCATCGCGTTACACGCGAGATACACCTGCGTTACGAGCGATCGTACGCCGAGCGAGCCGCGCGTCCACGTGTCAAAGTCGCCCACGCTTTAGCGCTCACTCTCGTTTCCGGTAGGAGGGAAACCCTTCCCGCCCTTCCGCCCCTTCGCTCCAACGCTCGAAGGGGAGAGACTGTTCGAACTCACCAGGCAATTCATCATCGTGCACAGGACGAGGATCGTCCCACGACTTCCGCGCATTATTTCCGCTTTGCTGGCCACGCGATACCTCCGAGAGTCGAGAATCGAGACGATTTTTCGCTTCACCTGCGCTCGTACAACCGTGTATATCACCGCCGATAACGAGCGCGATCGTTAGCGTTTACGCACCGGGGGAGGGAGGGGGGAGGGGGGGGGGTGGATCGCACGGCACGGAGAGAATGTAAACAAGCGTACAGCGACGGGTGCCTGCTTCGCGGTGCGGCGCGTGCGTCAGGATGACTGAAACAAGACTGAACGGACCCCTCGGCGGTCGGGCTTTTGGCGCGGGAGCAGCAAGAGGAACGGAAAAGCGGCCGCGACGGGGCCCGTGCTCTCCCACCTTCTCCTCGCCACGGTCTTCAACTCCCCGTCTTCCAGGCTTCCTCCTCCTCCTCTTCGTCTTCGTCTTCTTCTTCTTCTTCGCCTTCCTCTCCTTCCTCCTCGTTTTCGATCTTCGTTTTTTTTTTTTTTTTTT